CGCCGCCGTAGGGAATTCCATGGGAAAGGGACAGGAGCGCACGGGACAGGCGTGCCCGGCTGTTTGGCCTTCCCCTTACGGCCTGCAGGGATTTGGAGAGGGTGCCTAGGAAAAGGAGAATATGCACGTACGCAGAACGGCATCCGCTACAAGAACAGCTATGGGGACACAGCAGCGTGCCCGTAAAAATTAGTGGCTGGGAAGAGAACTCGGGAAAAGGAGGTGGTGGCTGTAAGGACCTGAGGACTCCCTGTGGAAAGGAGTCTGTAGGTGCATGGGTTGGGTGGGACTTGGGTTGTAAAAGTTCCTGTAGAATCAAAGGTGTGGGTTGGAAGGGCAGGGACTCTTGCATTAGGCCAGGTAGCTCCAAGTCTTATCCAAAACCTGGCCTTGAACACTTCCACAGCTGAGGCATCTAAACCCTCTCCAGGCAGCCTGTACCAGTGTCTCACCGCTCTGACAGTCAAGAATTTCTTCCTAATATCTAACCTCTAATATCTAATATCCTAATATCTAATATTTCCCCTCTTTTTATTTGTATCAATTCCCCCTTATCACCACGGCTCCTAACAGAGTCCCTCTCCCTGCAGCATCCCTGCAGGGCCCCCTTCAGAAGTTGGAAGGATCTGGAAGCTGAGGTGTGTGGGCAGAGGAGATGGAGAGAGCTTTCCATACAGCAAGATGGGGAACCTTAGAGAGCTGTGTGGGGCAGAGCAAGCTCTGTCCTAAAAGGGCAGTAGGGAGAGCCCCAATAGAAACAGGGAAGGTGACGTTCGTAAGGACTAGGGAAAACCCTACAGAATGAACATTAGTTCTGGCCACAGAGCTGAGGGACAGTACCCTACAAGGGAACATAGCATGTGCAAGGATCAGGAAAACCCCTAAAGAAACAAGAGCCTGGAGCAGAACATTCAGCAAGTTTTTTAGCTTACAGAAACATTTCCGCACTTCTAACTCAACTCATGTGAGCTTTTATTCGAGGAACCATTGAGAACTCTCATAGCCAAAACATTGAACTACATTCCTTCCCATTTATAATCATTCTTGTAGCATCCATTTCAGAGCTGCCCAGCTGAGCAGCCATCCCGGGTACATCCTGGATCAGCTGGGTGCATCCTGCACACCAGCTGGGCAGAGCTGCTGTTTCAGCAATGCAAGGGACAGTTTTCTAGCAGTGGTCTGGTGCCAGGCACTGGGATGATGTTCTCAGAGGACCAGAACAACATTCTGAGCTTCTGAACAGCTCACTTTTCAGAAGGAGGGCCATCATTGGGAACAAAGAATGATACCACACGCCTTAACAGTCGAGTAAGAGGCGGCTGATCCTCTTTGTATGTTACTTCTGTTGTCACTGTCAATCCAAAAGGATATTCCTTAGTGCGCACTTCCTTGCGGACCCCTTGGTTTCCCTCAGGATCATTCTCACTCTCTAAGGAATAGAAAAGATGGTAAGCAGGGGGAGACAAAAAAGAACACAGCAATAAAAATATTTTTTTCCATTTATCATGGCAGCCACATGGGCATTCAGTATTCTTTTTTTCATTTCCTTGCATTCTGAGGATCAGATAGCAAAGATCTGTTAACTGTAGCCAGAAAAAGTGATTTACTGGGATAGGTCAGATACCTGCACTGGTACTGGTCCATTATCAGTACTACAGTAGCAGTAACAACAGGCTTCCCAAGCTATCCACATAAAAGCTAGCCCAAGCAGCCCAGTGCAAACACCTATTAATTCCACTGTCTGACCACCCTCCCAGTAAAGAAATGCTTCCTAATGTAAATGCTCCCCCAGCACAGCTTTGAACCATTCCCACAGCGCAAATAAAAGCAACGGGTTGGCAAGAGTCTAGTCCCCGTTCCTGTAAATTGAGATAAAGCACGAGCTTCTTCCAGTCAACATGGGATTTATCTTCCTCCTTCAGGAGGAACTGCCGGGGGAGGGACTGACTGCCGGGGCCGGGCCGGGCCGGGCGGACACCCGGCTCACTCAGGCGGTCCGAGCGGAGGCTGCGCTCTGGCAGCCGCACAGCCCCAAGTGCCCCGACGGGCGGGCGGGCAACACCCAGCGTTACCTCCGCCGGCCGGGGAAAGCAGAGGGAGCTGGACAGGGGGCATCCCGCCGCCTACCCTTGGCAG